AGGATATGGAGGAGGTGAAGCAGCTGGGGCTGGTGGTGGTGGTGCGTCTGCCGGCGGTGAACATGCTAGTGGATATGGTGCGGGATCGGGTGCCGGAGAGGGCGGTGGCCACGGTGGCTATGCTCCTTAGAAGAAAGAACTGTTTTAGTTATCCGAAGATGGATAAAAAAATTGAATATGAATAGTTCTTATTAATATATTAATTAATATTATATATTGGTATTAAGAATAATTTCAAGTGTTAATGCCTTTGGATGTTTGAGTCTTTGAGTGCATGCACTTGAAAGTTATAAATGGTGCATGGAGTGTATCAATATGTTGTTAATTACTACTAATGATATATCAAATATTTGCTTAATTAGTGGTGGATCCTTTAAATTGCATAATATTAGGACCGGCAATTGAGCCGGGCCTAACCGATGCCCGATGGCTCGGCCCGATTATATTTGAGCCGAGCCTACTTTTTAGTGAGCCGGACTGAGTTTGAGCCATTTACTAAATCTGATTTATTTATAAGCCGAGTTTGAGCTTACTATGGCTCAACTCGAATAAGGCCCGACCGATTAGGATAATAGTAAAATATATAATATATTTATTATTTTAATCCTATGACTCAATATACAGGATATGACCGTATAAGATTATTTGATTTTGCGAAGAAAAAGTCAAAATAAAAGGAGTTAATTAGTCACCGAGATTTGAGAATATAAAATGTTTTCAATAATAAGAGTTACTAATTTTTTTTTTACTTATTTCGATTTTATTTTCAAGTTTTTCCAATAACTTTCAAAGATCGTTTAGGGTTTTTTTTTTATGGGATTATTTCACAAAACCCCCTCATCACACAAGTCCAATTACAATGAGCCCAAATTTATTTCTTATTTTTAAGATAAATCCAAAACATCTTTTATTAATAAAAATTAATTAATTATCACAATTATACCCTTGCTTTATTATAACGTAATATTTGTTCCCTTAATATCACATTCTCAATCTCACCCACAAATCGCGCTCCACAAATCTCTCGAACATAAGAACATAACGTGTTTCTCTTTTTTTTCTCTCCAGATTTTATTTTCTTTTTATCTTCTTTTCTATTCACCGTTGCCCGTTCGCCTCTTCTTCTCTCCCCACCGGTGCTGCCCCAACCCCACCCGGCGACGCCCCAACTGCCGTCTGAGCCGCCTCCGCCCAAACGCCGCCCCATCCTCCGCCCTCCGCCGCCCCATCCCCCGCCCGGCGCCGCCCCAGCCCCCGCCCGGCGCCGCCACAGCCCCATCCCTATTTCTTCTCTCTTCACCGTCGTCGAACGATATCTATGGGTGGTTGAAAAAGGTAAATATGTGCCGAATACTACATCGATTTTACTAATCGGCCCAAAAGCTTCTGGAAAAAGTGCTCTTGTTAACAAAAATTCTCGAATTCTTGAAAAAGACTTATTCACCTCAGAAAGAGCCCAAGTGTCATGTATATATATATAAATCGGTCTATCTATTCGGTTTTCTGTATTACATATATTATATTTTAACTAATTTATCATTATTGATTTTAAGGGCTTGTTTTGCTTAAACATAGGTAGCTCTTCTACTGAAGATGGAAATTTTTTTTCGCTTCAATCATCTTTATTCAATGGTTATAGGGTTTGTGGGGAAGGTTCCTATTTGATAACGATATTGTAAAAAAGACTATTAATTCTTATAAATTAATTTTTTTTCTTGATCAGATTGATACAGTGACCCTCGTCCACCTTGTTGGTGGTGGTGTACTGATTTTGCATTTTTTCCTAGATATAGTAGTGACTTGCGTTTTAAATAGCGGATTTTTTAATAGTGAATTTATGTTTTTTTAGATGTGTTAGTAGTGGATTTACGTATGTTTTTAGTGGATTTCGATAACTTTGTTGTTGATTATGTTATTATTAAAGTGGATTACGTTAATTTTTCGTAATATAATTGGACATAGTAGTGGTTTACGTTTCTAATAGTGGTATACGTTTCAAATAACGAGAAGAAGATGATTACACGGACTATGCTCTAGGGTTCATTGGAGAGAAGATGGTGTCTTTTATAGTGGTTTTATAGCTTCTTTTTTCGCAGAATTTTGATGTTTTCTTGTTAGAATTCATAGTGGTTTTCGATATTTATATAATTGTGTATATATAGTGGTTTTCATGTTTATATAGCTATTTTATGCATAGTGTTTTTTATAGTGAATTTACGTTTTTTTCCGTTTGTTATTTTTTAGTTGTGTTACTAGTGGATTATGTATGTTTTTAGTGCATTTCGATAAGTTTGTTGTGGATTATGTTAATGTAAAGTGGATTACGTTATATTACAGTGATTTTTGTAGTAATTTTACAATGGTTTTCGATAATTTTATAGTAGTTTCTGATGAGTATATAGAGGAATTTTAATTTTTGTAACCCGGGTGGAAAAACAATTAAGTGGATTTGACTAATTTAATAGTGGTTTTCGATGAACATGTAGTGCATTACACTAATTTAACAGTGAATTACACTAATTTAATAGTGGGATTACATTTATATTAATGTGCATTATGCTTATTTTGTAGTATTTTTTACTTTATTTTCATAGTGGTTTTCGATAAATTTAGTGGTTTTCGATAAATTTAGTGGTTTTCGATTATTATATAGTGAATTTCTTTTTATATAAAATATGAACGATTTAAAAACTGAAATAAAATAAAAAATAAAAAATAACAAAGTTTTGTTTTAAATTTTGAAATAAAAAAAAAACTATTAAAAAAATAAAAAAAAATGGAAAAACACTAAAATTCCGTGCGTGAAGTAGAGAGAGAATATTGGGGTGGGTGAGATAGTGGAGAGAAATAAGGGATTTGCATATTTAATTTTTTTTAATGATTTTCCATAATAATATAATATGGTAACTTTAACTAATAGTAAATAGGGGTATTTTAGATAATTTGGGTCAATTGGATTTATAACAAATATCAATTAAAAAAATGGATTTATTAAGAAGTCAAAATTGAATGGAGGGGTTTTGGCAAATAGCCCCTTTTTTATTGACTTCAATGGAGGTAAATCTTGTTCATAACTTATTTTTATAAAAAGAATTACTCATTACAAGTATATAGTAATGGGGCTCGATATAAACCTGAAACCCGAAAAGATAAATGAGCTGAGCTTGACCCTATTCTAATGAGGCCCAATGACATGTGAGTTTGAGCTATAGTAAGAGCCCGATGGTATATGAGCTTGAGCCGACTCAAGCTCAGCTCACATGGCCCGATTGTCAGCCATACATAATATAGATGTTACTTACTACTAGTTTGCTTCACGTATTCTGTTGGGTAATTTGAATTTAGGTTATTTAAAACAAGCTCTCTTGTTTCAACCGCTAAAAAAATGGACGGTTTATATCTAGTCATATTTTAAACACCACCTTTAACAATTTCCCTCCAACAAATATGTTGGTTATATTTTTTACATAACTATTATATTTTAATAATTTAAATCTCAATTGCTATATTTCAAAGCGATATTCCCACTGTCATATTAAACTATTTGATATAAAAGTAGGGATTATTTGTCAAAAGCCCCCCATCACACAAGTCTAATTACAATGGATCCAATTTTTTTACAACTTTTTGAGATAAATCCATTTCAGTATTTATTAATAAAAAGTAATAAATTATCACAATTATACCCCTAACCTAAAAGTAACCTATGTTTTAGGATTTGAAATATTTAAGTATTTTTAATTGTCTTAGCAAATTATTTAACACTTAACATTAATTAAAAAAATTATTAACACGGCAGAAAATATTTAATAAACATAATAATCTAAATAAAACTTAATTGGGAAAGAAAATAACCAACCCTAAACCCGTCCCCCCCAAACGTTCTGCATCTGCCATGGACACAAAGCTCAAGGGCAGGGCTCCCACACTATTGCCAGTTTCTTCTCTCAACCATCCGCCCAGGGCGCCCAGCCCACTCAGTCACCCGGGACGACTCTAGACGCCGTTACTACTCCATTGGAGACCAAAATCGAACGGAAAATATAGTTTATCTTTTTTTTTTTCCGTAAACTTAATAAAAACAGCCCAAAATCCGTTCATGTTTCATCAAGTTTGGGGAGGACTAATTTATATGTACAGGACCCACTTCAATATAAGAGTGGTTTTTGCACGCAGAGTGGTTTTTGCACACAGAGTGGTTTTCGCACACATAGTGGTTTTTGCACGCAGAGTGGTTTTCATTAATTCCATAGTCTTTTTCGTTAATGATAAGTTTTTAGTGGATTTTTGTAATGAATTTTGTTAATTATATAGTGATTTTCATTAAATACAGAGTGATTTTCATTAATTACAGAGTGGTTTTCGTTAATTGATAAGTTTTTAGTGATTTTTTTTGTCATGGAACTTGTTAATTACAGAGTGGTTTTCATTAATTATAGAGCGGTTTTCGTTAATTCATAAGTTTTTAGTGAATTTTTGTAATGAAATTTGCTAATTACATAGTAATTTTCTTTAATTTAAAGAGTGGTTTTCATTAATTATAGAGTTATTTTTGTTAATTACATAGAGTTTTTCGATAAATTTATACTCTATTTTCGTAATAGAATACTATAATCACATAGTGATTTTTGGTAAGTTATAGAGGGATTTCAGTTTGTTAAAAACAATTCTTTTTTAAAATTTAACTTAAAAAACGGATGTATAAAAAAACCATTTAATTTTTTTTTGATAAAACTTAAACATAAATAAAAAGAAAATTCCAATTAATTAATTAATTAATTGGAGGAGAAGGAGGCGTGATACATGAGAGGATAGGGGGGTGGTGGGGAGAAAATAGGGGGATTTGCATATCTACTAAGAAAATAATGAATTTTTCAAAATAATATAATATGGTAATTTTAAGTAATATTAGATAAGGGCATTTTGGATAATTCCACTCAATTGGATTTATAACAAATATCAATTAAAAATTTTGGATTTATCAAGAAGTCAAAATTGAATGAGGGGTGTTTGACAAATAGCCCCAGTATTAAAAAAACTGAAAAACAATTAGAATTAAGAATTTCAATGATATTATTTAAAGTTAAAATAATTAATATAATGATAACTTTTGATTACAATTAATGACAAATATAAAGTTAATTTTCAGTTTTAATATGATTATTTAAAAAAAATTACAATAAAAAAAGAAGTATAAAGCTGTCGATTTTCTAATAATTTGTTGACTGTTTAAAATTGAAGGCTTTTTTGGGTTTAATTGTTTAAATAATATAAATATTGTAAATATACATCTTTTAATTGGAAATTCCCCTCCGAATGTATGTTGGCTGAAGACGAGTCACAGTCAGAGAGAGAGAGAGAGAGAGAGAGAGGGGAGAAAAGCAGAAAGATTGTTTGCTGAAGACAGAAACCCTAATATCAAAATTCTCCAATTGAAGAGCCACGAACAATCAATCCATCAAAATCATATCCGATTTCCTACTACTCTCCTTTAATCTATCAATCAATCAACCCGATCACAATTCTCTGAGTTAAGTAATAGTTGCATAGAATGGATTTGAGCGAGCTGTTGGCGATTTTCGGACCCGGCGTCTCCGGTGCAGTATTCGCCACTGGGTGGTGGTTTTGGGTGGACGCCGTCGTTTGCAGCTCTGTCAAGGTCCCGTTTGTTCACTACCTGCCAGGTAATTCTATGCGAATTATGCATGAAATTATCTCTCTCTCTTTTTCGTTTGTTCTGCTCTTTGTTAATTTTCAATATTTGTTTTTTAGGGATTTTTGCGTCTTTGTCTGCTTTGATGTTCAATTCCGTGAACAAAGAGGATATTGATTACTCGCCGTATGCAGAGGGTGAATGGAGGTTAATATCACTTTATTTTTTCTATCTTTAGTTTACTTATTTCTGTTAACACTATCAGATTTTATTACACTTCTAGCGAAGCAATTTGCTTTGGGATTTCCTGCCAAAAAAAAAAAAAGAAAAAAAAATTGGGGGTATTTATTGATTAAAGATGGTAATGACTAGTGTGTTTGTGTTGATCAAGTTTCCTCTTGGTTGGTTAGAATGGATGAATCGATGAAATTCGAAGTCTTGACCTTGTGCAAATTCTTATGAGATTGAGTTTAGAAATTGGATATGATTTTTCACAAGTCTTCAAACTATGTTATTCACAGTTTACTCCATAAAAAAGCTATTCAGTCATTGTAGTTTCTGAATTTGCAGGTTGAAGCTCTGGCTTTTCATAGCATATGTTGTTTCGTTTGTCTCGTTAGCTGCATCAGTCGGCTTATTGATACAAGATGCACTTGTGGAATCTGGTCCTTCTGCATGGGCCGGGGTTGCAGGTGTTCTTCAATGTGTGTTTGTCCTAATCAGGTGAGATTTTTCTCTCTCCTTTCTTTCCCCCAATCAGAAATGTTGCTCGTCAAATAAATATCGATCTTCTTATTTTGATTTTATTGCAGTGGCCTAATTTATTGGATATCTCATTCGGAATAAAGCTACTATGTGCAGAGTGTCATCCTTCAGTGTAAACTGAGATTATTTGTGTCATCCATTTGTGTAAACCGAGGTTATTCGTCTCACACAGACACGTGAAGTTATAGAGAGAATAAAATGAAGTAAGTCATTTGTGAATCTAATGGTGCCTCCTGTGTTATTTTGCTCGTACAGTTCAGTTCAGATATCTTCTGTCCTCGTTCGATTCAAATAAGTTTTAATAGCAGGATCAGTATTTCAGAAGCCAACCTTATTTTTTGAAAGTTGTTAACACATCCCATCACAGACAGACTTACGAATGCTCATTTTGTTCCCACTCAATTCCTTCATACCGATACTTCCAATGAAAAATAAGTTGGGAAATCATCGATCTTACGGTGCATTGCAGATGCATGATATATTCAAATGTTCGGCTATACCTCTGTGATATAGCACGACACTATTGATCAGAATAGAAAATGCTACAAGGGAAAGATTAAAAGACAATCGGTATAACTATAATCAGCTTTCAACTTTTTTTTTTTTCCTTTTCTTCAAAATATAGTAAACCTTTCTTCCCCTATTTAAATCAGGAGAAATGGGAGAAAATATGCCCAGAAAAAGGATGAGCCACTGAATTAAATGTTAGCCGAATGCATTTTATGTCCTATCTTTCAAGTATGATTCAGCAAACTCCCGTTCATGCCAAGCATCAATCTCAGATGCCAGAAATTTATTATTTCATCCACATACAAAAACCAATCATCACCGTAACTTTCCTTCAGAAACAAATAGCCTGCCAACAAAATTGAACTTCCCAGATACCTTGAGCTGACATTAAGTCTCAAGCTTCAGATTCGGAGGAGCTTGATTCAATGCCAGAAATACCAGAGTATAATTCAGACCGTTTCTCGAGAACTTCCACACACTTCCAAAGATGGCCTCCTATTCATGTACTGTAACGAAAAAAGTTAAAATAAATTAATTTACTGCATTTAATTTTATTCACTAATGCAATCAACTTGGATGGATAATTCTCACCTCCTGATAGAAGGCGCTGATCTCTTCCTCTGTGAGGCCTTCATCTTCCCCACTATTTTCTTCCCAACCAAGTGAACGGAGAAATGCAGCCTCTTCTTCATCTGGGCAAATTTGTCCGTTACAAAACATATTCGTCTGTCCAGCATCAGAAAAGTTATTGGACTTCTCAGAAATGTAATCTCCATTTCCATTGCAAACCGTCTGGTTACCATTCTCTAAAGCACGAGGGCTTTTCGGATCATGGTCTTCTTTAACAGCCAAACTCGGACTAGATAGAACGGTTACATCATTGGCTGTGGTTTTCCTCCTCATGAGGTTAAAAAATTCACTTCTGCTTCGGGCCAGAGCACTGTGGGAGGATCTTTTGTCGATAGTAGATTTGGAACTTAATGGGAATGCAGTAGCCAAAGAACCGTCCAGACTCAATGCAGTTGGAGTCGATGGAGCCACGAGCTGACCATTAAGAACTCTACAGTTGTCTTCCCTGCTTGAAATAGATGCATCCTTTGCCAAAATGCTGACCGTGTTCTCACGCCCTGGTTTGAGGACCAAAAACTTCCCGTTATGAGAGGTGCTTGAAGAATCAGATCTGACTTGACCAGAACGAGGTTGGTTAGAAAATTGAGGGGAATGGGGTGGCGGCTGAATAGCCTTTGATGAAGCCACAATCATTTCAGTAGTTCTGACTGTACTTTTTGGTTGTTTCGATTTGTCTCCTGAACTAAGACCCTGAAAAGAATATTATAATTCAATCAAACACGTTGTACCATGCATCAAGGATGAGATATGAAACTAAGGTAAACCACCATATGAGATATCCATAAGACTAAATGAAATCAGACAATAAGCAAAAGCATGCCACATAAAAACTCCTTCTACAAAGGGTTTAGGCATTGAAGGTGCTATGTATATAAAGTTCAAGATGTCATCTAAGATGCAAAGAAATGAATATGCCATTAAAATTCCTTTTACCGAGGGTTTAGGCATTGAAGGCGTCATAGGAATTAATTGTCTGGACTGCTTAATGGCCAATTCCTCAAACCACTGGCTCTTATCAGATATCTGCACAATGATTAAAGAGATTCTTCAATTAAACTTGGTTCATTGTTGCGAGACAAATTCATAAACCAGTGAAAGGAGTTACCGACAATTTACCTCGGGAGCAATGCGGACTCGGGCCTGAGGCTGTGACAACGCCTCAGCCATGTTAAGACCTGCCCCACAAGAGGCTCCAGATGTAGAAGTTGCAAATGTTACTCCATTTTGCTGACTGGGAGAGTGGCATGTGCCGTTATTGGCAATAATAGCAGGCACTTCTGCTAAAGCAGAAGTCCATTTCTCACTACCAATAAACCCTGAGCTGCCAATGGGCAAACTCTGGACAGCAGAACTCAAACCAGGAGACAAAACTCTCCTAGTTCCAGTCATATCTTGCTTCTCTTCAGTTCCAAGAGACGGGAAACCCTTCTCAAAAGCAGATTTCTGAATGCCACTAGGATTAGTACCTCCAGAAAGCACATCATTGCTACTTTGTCTGCTAATACTGTTTTTTGTGTCCTCTGTTCTGCGAGGAAAGACCTCACCGGGTTTCCTCGAAACCAGTGATTGGGAGCGCCTAAAACCACTATTTAATATACTTGCCAAGCGGTTTGACGAGCCATCTTCCCAGATTTCATCAGAAAGAGACTTCTCTTTATCTCGAACACGGTTTTTTTCGCGGTGAATCCTTGTGAAACTACTATACGGATGCTTTGCAGAACCGTTACTATTTGAAATACGCCTAGTATCGGACGATGAGCTTCTATCCAGAAATCGAGAGCTATCTTTCTCACTACTAATCCTACACGATCGGCTTCGTGTGGAATATATGGAAGAAGAAATTTCTACAAGAGAAGGAACTACAGTCAATTTTTTGGTAACTTGAGAATTGAAACGCATAGCAGAGATTACACGGACAAACATACACAAAACAAACATAACGACTACATGTATATAAGTATAAGGGCAAGCAAGCAATGATACCTGAGTGACGGGCTGATGAGCCACCTCCAGCAACACTTCTTGTACATCTTAACCATTCAGGAACTAGTGCATATTCAGTTCTTTCCATCAGCCCTTAACATGATCTATTTACTGAGTGACTGAACATTACAACTCAATGAAGCTCCTGGATTACCCAACTTTGCTTTGTTTCGCTCTATACAAAAACACCTTTCGATCAAGCCATTGCATTAATAGTGAATCTGTTAATCAGCATTCAACAGATTCAACAATGGGGATTATCAATCTTCCACTTTTAAACTATCATTACAGAAAAAAGAGACACACTGAAACAGCCAAGAAAAATAATCCTTCCTGTCCAAAATAAGAGTCCAATTGCATCAACTAAATCCCTAAATCAGAACATTTTTCTCTCTTCGAATATCATCCAATCAAAGACAAACCTACATAAAAATGCAGGTCGAATTAATGGAAGAATCCAACCATAACCCTTGAACTAAAATCCTCCCACCAATACAAAGCAACTGCAGAAACGACTTTCTTACCCAAAAATCTAAAAACGAGAGATCATAAATAATCAGTAACCCCACCTCCAAAAGGAACAGTGAAAAAGGGATCCAGCAAAACCCTAAACGCTCCAAACACCGCCAAACTAAGAGTATATATTTACAAAATAGGGGCAATAGTATATAATTCAGCGGTTTACTAAATTTGTTCGACGAATAACATATGAATACGATTGATTGTATATTGGACGTATGTAAAATTTCCGGCGCTTAAGAGGAAATGCAGAGGGCGAATTTTGGGAGAGAAATGCATACAGATTTGGTAATGCAAATTCAGAGAGAAATATATTATGAATAATGTAAAATATTAGGCGGAGAGAGAAAGTGAGAGAGAGAGAGAGAGAGAGAGAGACCGAAGGGTGTTATAAAACGTTCCGTTTTATAGTAGCGATTTCACATTTTCGTAAATCACAGTGATTAAACTTTTTTTTTTCCAGAAAATAAACTGATCATAACTTTTAGGAATATTGATTTTATTACAAAATGTGTTTTTGTAAATATTATTCATATTAATTAAATTTAATCAACATCAGTTATGACTAATTGATTTTGTACTACTTTTAATGGGTATAAGATTGATCATTGATCCTTTCTACGAAGAAATTTCTGAGTAAGTGCTATTTTCGATATTTTATTGCATAGTAATTAATTTTGAGTATAGTATTTTCTGATCTGAAAGTGGTAACAAATTTGCAAATTTTGGTGAAAAAATTATCCAAGCTTTCTTTATTTGGAATTTACTTTCAAGTAATTTGTATTTTTTCTTGGTTTGCTGCTCGTTTTTTTTTTCTTTTTTTTTTTTTTTGTTTTTAATGGAAAATTCGTATATATGTTTTACTTCAAATCCCTTAAGTAAAAATTCAGAAAAATAATGCGGAAAAGGAAAAATATCATATCATGAAAAATACTGCATGCAGCTGTTCAGACAAAAACCAAACGAAATTCAATAAAACTCCAAATTTACTAAATACTGTGTGTCAAATATCTGCAAGCTTTTTTGCTTTGACAGATTAACCAATCAGCAGCCTCCATTTTTGCATTTCCAGGCCCTGCACATCTCCTTCAAGAAACACCTCAATCTCTTCTGCACAAAATTCATTATAAATAAATAAAATTTGCATATATAGTGCTGAAACTGTATTTTTTGAGTATGATTACCAAAAAATAAAAGACTTACACAACAATGAGAATATCTTCTTCTACCCTTCATATTTTCTCGATTGCACGATCCTTCGACATCACTATAATATTCCTCATGATCACTAACAATGCGCTCATACTTCCATTTCTTCTTTATCCAATTAAGCCGCGTAAATATTACTCTGATTTTCTTCGGTGCATGAAGTGTCCATTTCCATTTCTGTGATTTTATAAATATCAGATCGACTACGTACTACATACTGCATTATAAATGTATAAATGAAGGAGGTTGATCGTATTTACGTTTGGTTTTCGCCTTGATTTTTGTGGCTGTGGTGCATTGGCCCCATGCCTTAGCTCTTGAGAGTAGGCGAGAAGCTGGGCCCGCCTGCTGTAGCCTCCTGTTTCGAAAACACGAGGCTTAGAAGATGAACGGTTGGGATTTAATTTCTTGATCGGATCTGTTTTCTGATCTGATCGAAGTTTTCTTGATTCTATGTATACTTTGATGATAACCCCTTTGTTGTTTGGCATTCTCCTTTTTTTTGTGTGTGTGTGTGTATTGACATCTATGCCTCTTTTGAGCTGAATTAAGCCTTGCACTTGTTAATGATGCTATAATTAGGGCTATGTTCTTGGAACCTGTTTTGAACTAAGCAACATTATCAATTTTCACATCTTATAAATTTTGACCTTGTTTGGCAACATGGATAATAATAATTAACATGTATCAAATGTTTGGTGTTTAGGTTTGAAGTCCGTAATTAAAAATAAGCCCGTAATTTAATTAACTATGGCCTCGTTTGCTTACCTATATCGGATTACATTGGATTAGGTGAGATTGGATTAATACCTCACTGACTAATTAATTATTTAGTCAATAAGATGTTTGATTCGTTAGATTAAATCTTGTATTAAATTTGTTAAATTCTGGTATTTAATGTGAATTGTCTAAAAAGTATTTCAATTAAAAAAAATTAAGATATGGTTTTAAGGATAAGATTGTATTTTCCTCTTTTAATCACCCCTACAAAATTAATCGCAGGGGGAAGGGTGCTACTAATTTAACCAAATAATAGCACTTAATTGCGGGCTTTGAGTGTAGTAGCGGGCTTGACTAAATACGAATCTCATCAACCAAACATCTTACTAACCCCTACTATTTAGTTAATAGAGGTTAATAGCACTAAGCAAACGAGGCCTATATCAATAATAGTCACCCCATTTTATTGCACAATCATTTGAAATATATTACCCAATGCAAGAATTTGAATAATCATAATCACAAATATAAGATAAATCACATTACATTATTGATTATTGTGGACAATGTAATCATATCCAATTCAATCAATCTTATATATCAAATCTCATCAATATTACCAAATAATTATTAATTTACCATATAATTTATCCCAAATTGAACTCGACCAAAAATATTATTTGAACAATATTATTAGTTAATCAATCGTTCAGTCGATTAGGGTTTACTGTAATTCGATCGACACAAAACGTTGGTTACTCGTGCTTAGTCTTAAAACGATATTATCAAACTAATTTTTTTGGATTAATTATGGAAAATACCTGGCGTACAATATTTATTTATTTAATATAATATAATATGCATTTTATTCGAAATATTTTATTTTAAATTAAATTTAATTCGAAAATAACAAAGGAGTGTGAGTCGAATATGTAAATGGTGTAGAAAAAGTCAAATACCAAGGTACAAGAGTTGATTATTCTGGGCGTATTTGACATGAAATAAAATTCAAAAAGCGGGGACAGAATAATAAATAGACAGTTGTTAATAAGGGAGTATAAAAAGAGAGAAATGAGAAAGCAGCCTAGCCTATAAATAATAGAGAGAGAGAGATAGAGAGAGAAAACGCCGCTCGTGTTTTAATTCTCTTTTTTATTTTTTTCTCCTCTTTCACTAGTATCTTTCTGTAACGGACATTCAGAAATGGTGGATGGGGCTCAGCCGGCGGACGCCGTGATGTCGGATGCGGAGCCACAACCGCCGCCTCCGGCAGATCACATACCTGCGGTTCTTAGCCACGGCGGACGATTCATTCAATATAACATATTCGGCAACATCTTCGAGGTCACCTCCAAATACAAACCCCCAATCATGCCCATCGGAAAAGGCGCATACGGCATCGTTTGGTAACCTAATCTCTTATTCTTTTCGCTTCCCCCCCTTCCCGCGATTGCTGTTAACTGTTGATTTTATTTTATTTTCTTCTTTTTTTTTTGTTTGGAGAAGCTCGGCTCTGAATTCCGAGACGAATGAGCATGTGGCGTTGAAAAAGATAGCGAATGCTTTTGATAATAAAATCGATGCGAAGAGGACTCTGCGTGAGATCAAGCTTTTGCGTCACATGGATCATGAAAATGTTAGTCAATTATTATCATTTTTTTTATGAGCTAATACATGTGTATATAGTTGTATGTAAATGTTACTTTTTATGACTACTGCGAATTGCAGAAGGTAGCTTAGAAGTTAATTTTTGATTCAATTCCTTTATCTTCGGAACACTTGCCACTTGTATTCTGATATGTGTATTTCTGCTTGTATTTTGATAGCTGGTCATGGACTTTCCATCAATTCATCTGAATTTGTTTGAGAAATATAGAGCAGGTTTAATACAGGGGGTTTTAAATAGGTAAGTTAGCATTCACATTAAGCACACACAAATAGACGTCGAGGAGAAAATAGCCTTTTTAAGGTATGAACGAATTGGAATCCGTATGCTCTTGTTTTTTAAAATTTAATCCATTTAACTGGAAAAATTAATCGGTTTTTTTTCAACTTTGTTTGATGCGATTCCGAGTCTAGCATATCTCGTATTTTGTGTAGTTGAATGAAGTTTATTGCTTCATAAGGTGATCTAGTTTAGATATGTACTAGGTAAGTACTATGAGCGTATATTTGTCCAAAAAACGAACACTGATGATTTTAGGCCGACATAGGCCAAGTGTCAACAACTTTGGTAGGTACCACTATTACCGTCATGCATAATCCATGAGGATAAAAAAATTGGATTCTCAAGATATGATCATGATTAGGTTTCATAAAAAAGAATGGGGCTAGGAACTTTCTTGATAATTTGCAATCTGTTTGTTGATTTCTAGGACAGACTTAATGAAATCGGAGAACGAGAGAAACATTTAATGCGAGTCGACATATAGTAACCACCATGGTATGCAATGGTGCCGTGGCCAAATAAATAAATTAGACTATTAACCAACATTTAAAGTGTTCGATCTATTAGCTTTTCGATTAATATCTTTTGGGGGCAGGGAGGAGGAGGAAAGTTTTGCTCACAGCCTAATTTATACTCCTTTTATGTCGTTTTGTGCTAAACTGGATGCTGCTGATTTGTTCACCAACTTCTCATTTTCTGTATGTTTCTTGCTATGTAATTATCAGTTAGCACACTTGATTAAAGCTGTAGCATGCATTTTACTCTGCATCTAGTATGTTTAATTATTGTTATCGGATCTTCATATAATAACAACCAGGAAAATAACTTCTTCATTATAAGGATTACCACGGGTTATAAAAGCAAAATAAGAATATAAAATTGAGGTGTGATTACATTAACTTATCAGCATGCTTTTCGATCATTTAAAGATATACACCTTTGTGTTGCAGGTTGTCGCAATCAGAGATATAATTCCACCTCCGCAAAGGGGAGCGTTTAATGATGTTTACATAGCTTATGAGCTTATGGATACTGATCTTCATCAAATTATCCGTTCTAACCAAGCTCTGTCAGAGGAGCACTGCCAGGTTCTGTATTTTTTTTAATATTCGTAGAACTCTAATTATCATTAGATAGGACACAGTGTCTTTAGAGTGAGACACGTACTTTTCGTTTTATCCACTAAACCATGAAATTTCATGACAAGGCATCACGTGTTCCATGAAGTAAATGTTACTTAATTGCACCGTAATATTTATAATAGTCAGGATACAATATAGTAAGTAATTGAACTGTTAGTAGGCACATTTTTCTCATTTTTTTAAGAGAAAAATGGAGAGCAAAAATAAAGCACCAGTGTTGTTTGGGTTGAGATCTCAAAGCATAGCTTTAATGTTATTCCTAAATAAAAGCAACGAGGAGTTAGGAAACACTATACAGTTTTAATGATTCGAAACCACATTAATTCACTCACTGAAGAAAAAAAAAATCTGTTGACTTCTATTCGTTGGTCCCCTTGTACTGCAGCACGTGACGTGCAAAATTGTGAAAATGTGCTTCGAATCTGCATAACTTGCTTTTTTTATTGACAGGTTCAGATTTTATTCCCTGATTTTTTTGGTGAACTTTTACTTCATATCTACGAAATTGTTTATGAAATGCTTATTTTACATCCAGTCCTTGATTGTCAAAAGATATCACCGTGATTCTCTATTGATCTATCACTGTTTTCTTTGTCTTGTATGGTAAACTAACTATTGCCATGATTTTGTTGCAGTATTTCTTGTATCAGATCCTCCGAGGGTTAAAATACATACATTCGGCCAGTGTTCTGCATAGGGACTTAAAACCTAGCAATCTTCTCCTGAATGCAAATTGTGACCTAAAGATATGTGATTTCGGATTGGCACGAGTCACGTCTGAAACTGACTTTATGACAGAATATGTTGTTACAAGGTGGTATCGGCCACCCGAACTTTTGTTAAACTCATCTGATTACAGTGCCGCTATTGATATATGGTCAGTGGGGTGCATTTTCATGGAACTGATGGACCGGAAGCCATTGTTTCCGGGTAGAGATCATGTGCACCAGTTACGTCTGCTTATGGAGGTATCTCTGACTCCCCTTCTGCGCTTATACCTATTTAGGATATCTTCTAAGTCCTAATACCTTTTTTATTTTATTTTTTAATTTAAAAACATAAAATACCTATTTAGGATATCTTCTTAGTCCTAATACCTTTTTTATTTTATTTTTTAAATTAAAAACTTAAATCCTGTTACAAATGGGAAATTTAGTTCCGATTTATAGTTGTCGCTAGAAGGATGAATGAGGTTCAGTATGGGTCTTTTTAACCTCAAATGAAGCATTTGTTAAATTTAAGGCAGAACAATTTTATCAAGTGTGACTAAAGAGGTTACTTGGTTGCAGCTAATTGGCACCCCCTCAGAGGCTGAGCTAGGTTTTCTGAATGACAACGCAAAAAGATACATCCGACAACTTCCTCCTTATCGCCGACAATCATTCATCGAAAAGTTCCCTCATGTTCACCCTCTTGCTATTGATCTCGTTGAGAAGATGCTCACTTTCGATCCTAGGCTGAGGATTACAGGTGATTAGATTTTCCGAGTCCACAACCTATATATATATATGTACACACACACTTCATCTTTATAGTACTAATGTTATGCTGCTCCCCATATGAATTAACATAGATCTTTTTACCAAAATGTTGATTCATGTAATGAAATTTTGGGTAATGATCATTCCAGTGGAAGGTGCATTGGCTCATCCGTACCTGAACTCACTCCATGACATCAGCGACGAGCCTGTCTGTACGAGCCCGTTTAACTTTGACTTTGAGCAGCAGGCACTGACTGAAGAACAGATGAAGGATCTGATTTACCTAGAGTCTCTTGCTTTCAATCCAGAATATCAGCCCATGTGAAGTGTTCGTAGCTCCCGATTTCCGATAATGCTAATGTGGTACTCAGGTTGTATGTAATCCCGATTGATGATTGCATGTATATTAATTTATTTAAGTCATAAAAACTAGATTTCGACATTATATTTTTTCTTTTTTTGTTAGAACCTGCATCTGCACTCTGTGGCCAGGTATTGGGTGGTGTGTGCTAACTAGGTCGAGGAATAAACTCGATATGTGGCTTGCCTTGTATTTTCCCTAGTGAATTTTAATACTATACATTTTCTGATAAATCGAAAATCATAGACTAACACCCGAGCCCTTGTTTAGTTGTCGCTTTGATAATTTTAAAACTTGTTGTCACACTGCAACATGGTCGAATGCAACATGGTCGAACAGGGAAATAAATAGACGGATGACTGCAACGAAATGGAGTAGTTAACAAATATTACAAAGCCGAGAAAACATAGTTGGATAGTCCAGCAAAAGGAACAAGTCCCATGTTTCCATTTCACCCCAGCCAGCCCTTAATCAAAACACCACAAATCCAGGGGGACAATGGAAACACAGGCTGTCAATGCCTATGTAAAATCGCCGGACAAGTACCTACCGCATACTACTAACTTACAAGAACAAACCCATACTTACAACAACTGCTCAGAGAGAGAGAGAGAGAGAGAGAGATGATCAGTAGTACATCTTGCTAACAGCCCTCTTTTGCAGCTTCCCAATAACAACAGGAGGAGCGCGTATGGGATCCGACCCGTTGCGAGGTGGATCAAGTACCACCGGCAAGTAATCCAATTTGTCGCAATCAAACTTCGAAGCCTGGAACCTTTTCAATAAACTTTGTTTGCCCTGAACAAAAAACTTCAACAATTATGGACAAAAAATAAAAGTTGGAAATGCAACAATATGATTAATAAATAAATAACCTGGATTCTAGCCCAAGTGGTCTCGCAAACTTTGTTGGAAGTAATGAAACCGCAGCCAGTCTGAACAGTTCCCCATTCGTACTTGTGTATAACTTGCTTGAATTTCTCAGCAGCAGCAGTGCTTGTGAAATTCACAAAGCAGTATCCCAGATTATCCCTCTTTCTATTGGTTCCAAAATTCAACAACAAAGATAACTAGTTAATTAAAACAAAATAAATAAATGTTCTTGAAAAAAACAAAGCTAGAGAGTCTGTTATACCTGAAATCCATGGGCAGATAGAGGAAATCATATTCCAAAGAATAATGATTGCAGTATAAGTCTATAAACTCTAGCATATAATCCCTCCTGGTAAATAATCAACATAAACAAAAGCATATATATATATATTTGTTTCAAAAAAAAAAGTAAATGTACATATGTCTGAATTAATGAACTGTGTCTATATCATTAGCATTGATTTGCAAAAGTAAATGACTTGGCAAAGGAGACAAAACATTAAAGATGCATTCCTTATTAGTGCAACAGACTTTCCATTCAACGTAGTTATATATATATATATATATATATATATATATATATATATATATATATATATATATATATATATATATATATATATATATAAATATATAGGGAGAGGACTATTCACAGAATTGCCATTTCAGTGTAGTTTCTTTACATAATTTCAGATATCGTCTTGTCCCACTATTAACAAGGGAATAAATTTGCACATATCTCAAAAAAAAAAAACTTAGAGAATATATTTAATAATGTAAAATAGTAAAGATTAATCAATCTTAACCCAAAACAATTTATAATAAAAAGTGCACCTTAATTGATTAGGGATGTTTTTTATCATGACAGTTGTTGCTGAACAAGGTGAAAACTCCTCATCAATAGACATCGCCTTAGCCGGCGGTGAATGGACGGCGGCACCACCACGAAGGCCATTATCAGAGTATGCTTTCCTAGGCCTAAACTCCTGCTTACGCGCCGACTTCGAGTCCATACTAAATGACCTCGTTGCCCTTCTCGGAGGAGGTGAAAAGAACTTTCTCCCACAAGAGACTGGATGGCATTTCGGACTTTTCTCAGTCGTCGGGCTCTCCGAAAAGTTCATCACCGTTTCAAACCCATCGCTCACGAAGTTTGGAATCGGTGTCGCCGCCTCGTGAAAGTAGGGATCACTCGCCGGAAAAGAAGCAAACGTGGAGTGGTGGTAAAAAGGCCGAGGCGGTGGTTGTGCGCATGGCATCACGTACGGGTTCACCGGAAGTGCATGACAGTATGAAAGTTGAGGAATCTCAAATGCCGCCATGATCTCCTGCGGCGGTGGCGCAGCTGAAACCGTCACTACCTGAACCGCCGCCGGCGGTGGCAGAGGCTGGTAGTGCAATGGCGGTGCGAAGAAAACATGCTGGTAGTGTGAAGATGGCCACCATTCTTGAGCACTAGGGTTTAGTGAAGTTGTTTCCATGAACGCTTTGATACACATTTTTAAGGGTTTTGGTGATTGTAACATTTATAAGTTCTTTTTAGGGTTAACTGCAAAAAATCCCCTAAACTTTGGACGTTTTTGCGCTTTACCCCCTGAACGGAAAAAAGTTGCACGAGCATACCTGAACTTACTAATTTGTAGCAACGAAACAAAAATTATCCATTTTTAGTAAAAAGTGACCGGAATCCGCAACACGTGAGAAGCACATGTTTTGAGCTGGGATAAATTAGTCTTTTCCTCCTACTACTATTTTCTTCATTTTTTTAATAAATAAAGAAAAAAAAAGGAAAAAAACTTCCATCTTCTTCACGTCACCAGTTCCCCTTGTGCAGCAAAACAGGGACTTTCTTGTGAACGAGGTTTTGTTTGAGGAGTAAATCACTCTTGTTTCGAACTTTTAGAGCCGACTCAACTCTTGTGCAGTAGGAAGACTCACCACCACGAAAAACCAAAATTAGTCTTCGTCCTTCTTCAGCCCGCCGCCGCCCGCCGCCTGCCGACTCTGATTCGCCCCCGCCGCCTCTAATTCGCCGCCCTCCGCCGCCTCTGCTTCGCCGCCACCGGAAATAGAGGACCCAATTCATCAACCCCACCAATCAAAACCTCCCATTCATCGGATCATAAAACCTCTGCACCATCCACATCGCCGTCGATTTCCCGGACCCACCGGAAATAGAGGACCAGTGCACCGTCGCCCCACTCTTAATCGTCAAGCAATTTTCTTGACTTTTTTCCGTTGCCGTTGACTATCAACCCCCAAAAATTGCGTTAATTCCTTTCAAAACCCCCAAAATTGTGTTCTTTATGTTCATTTGTGGACCCTGTTTGCTCCAAGGGTGGATGAAGATTAATTTGGTGGGGGTGTTGGTGACGGGAAGAAGATGATTTTTTTCCCTGTTTTTTGTGATTTATTCATATTTATCCTCTTGTCAAGAAAAGAGGAGAGGAATGAAATTGGTGTTGCGGTTGTGGTGTGGTGGTGCAGCGGCGGAATAGAGGTGGTGGTGGTGTCTGATTTTTTTTTTTTTTTTTTTTTTTTTTCTGATTTATTAGAGGTCTCCTCTCCCATATTCTGTTGCAAAAAGGATAAAGGCAGAAGATGCAGACCATTTTTTTTATCTTTTTTTCTCTTTATTTATTTTTTTATTTTTTTTTTCTTTTTTCTTTTTTCAAAAACCTTGTGAGTTGGCAAAATTGCCCTTTTATTTGCACGTGTGAGTTGCACGTGTGCATTTCCGGGAACAATTTGGCTAAAAATGGTCAATTTCAATGCCGGTGCTACAATATAGTAAGTTGAGGTATGCCCGTGCAACTTTTTTCCGTTCAGGGGGTAAAGCGCAAAAACGTCCAAAGTTTAGGGGATTTTTTGCAGTTAACTCTTCTTTTTATATATTAACGTTTTCTTAATTAAATATTGGAAAAAAAATAATATTTTATAGTAAAAATGAAAATATAATAAGAATCAAAGAAAATCTTGGAAAAAATAAAATAATCGAAACTTTTCATTACAGTAAACACTGCAAAAGCTAGCTGCAGAGACTGTGTTGTTGTAGTTGTTTACATTTCACGTAACAAGAGAATATCTGTAATGATGAAATTTTGAAAATATTGAAAATGTCTAATTATGGCATTCGCATTAAATGAGACATCTCACTACACGACAAAATTACATATCTTTGGCGGCGGAAAATCTGATTTTCTTTGCATACAAATTGCAGGCTTTGGGGAGACAATTTGTACTAACCTTGGGTTTTGCTATGCTCACCGCTACTGTCACAGTTCTCCCTTCCTTTTTTTTTTTTTTTCTTTTCTCTTTTTTCTTTTTTCTTTTCATTGAAAAAAATATGGAATATGAATTGGATATACAATTGGATTTGGATTGATGTAAAGATGTAGATGCACTTATTAGCCTAGTCTTAGAGTAAGGCCTATTATTATTATTACTACTACCTAAAAAGATAGATTTGACGCCACTGTAGAGACTAATGAAATATATTATTTTAAATAATAAATAAATAAAAAATTGCAATTGTGTACACGATTTCAAAAAATATTTGTTTCCCAAAAAAACTACTTGTCAAGTTTTGATGATTGATAATATGATTTGACGTAGAGAGTTGGATTTTTAATGATGACTAAGATATTGTAGGGTATGAGGACAATCAATTAGGATTTGGACTAATATACCTTAAACAGTAAAAACATTTTTACTTCATTTTTTTATTCAGACAAATAGTTTACACTACAGCCATGACAGTTATACTAAATAAATCTAGTCATATTTTGTTGGGCTAAAAGTGAGCATAAGCCCATTATTATCATGACCCGAATTTATAATGGGCCTGGGCTTAAATTTGATATTATATATAACCAATAACCAACAAACCCATATTGCTGACCCGAAACCAACCATTAAAACATGGCAATTCATAACAGAAAATGACAAGTTTGCCCTTCTAAACACTAGAACTAAATATTTGACTGGAATTTATAATATTAAGGTGGTGTTTGTAAATCATTATTTAAAAGTAGAAGTTAGTGATTATGAGTTAAATCAATTTTAAGTGCTTATTTTTAAAAGTTTGGGGTGTTTGCAAATATTCCGGAAAATGAACTTAAATAGAAAAAGCAGGGTTAATGGTGCTTTAAAAAAAATAGCTTAAAACAGATTATTTTAAGAGAAGCAAAAGCAAAAGTTGATTTTGCAAACACCTGAAAACAGATTATGAAACAGCTGAAAACAGATTATGAGGAAAAAAAAAAAAAAAAAGCTCATAATCACTTCAAAAAGCGTTTGCGAATTCATTATGTGATAATTGTTTTTGCAGAATTCTCTCTAAATAATATTCAATTCAGAAAACATGAGGCTTAAATCGCATTGCTCCAGTCCATACCATACTTCATGTTCCAGAAATTGAGTACAAAAATAGACGTTTGATTTGAGTCATCATTATCTCTTTCAATACAAACAATTTCAAAGTTCAATCAATATATATATAATTAATTTTTTTTCTATAGACTCCGAATTAATCTAATATTAATTAATTCATTTTTATTAAATAATTTATTGATGCGGGTCCCATTACATCATGGGGATCCATGAGGTGGGCTAACGTATGTAGTTCACGAAAATACATTGCAAAAATACTTATTAGCAATATCCTAAGAATCACGTGTGATATCACTATTGAACATAAATATTAAATGTAGGACAACCTACTTCATTATTTCAATTCATACATTGCTTAAAACAAAATCCATGAGGTGACTCGATCCATAAATTAGTGTAACCTCTCAATAATTAACATTTCTTTAAAATTATACATAACTCCCCCAAAAATTAAGTGTAATTGCACTTAGACTCTCTCGAATTTGAAAATTCACATTCCTATCTTAAGGTTTGACTCTCAATTTTGAAATTGGTTCAAGATTGAACGTTTGAAATGCTATTTGCATATATATATACATGGTTTTATTCTTTATAACATATTTTTATATTTAAATTAAAATAATAAATATTTTTAATAATTTTGAATTAATAAATATGTGTAATAGCCTACAGTGTGAAGAGGGTGGGCTTGTCTGCCTTTGGACAAGCCTTATGTTGGAAATGCCCACAACACTGCCCAACATATGGTCTCACTTAATTTAATTATTGGGCCAATCACAATCCACCGAAAATGATACATCTAACTTATTCTAAATTTACAGATTTGTTTTAAGTTCTAATAAATATTAATTAAAAATATATACAAATGGGTTTCTTATGAATTTTCCATACCGTGTGGAATAGATAGGTATTTAAAATAAGAACGTGACATTTCAGCGACGTGAATGAATTACCTATGTGAGGAAATATTATTACTTTTATTTGTTTATTTGTTTTATTACTTTACATAAATTAAAAAAAAAAAGAAGAAGAAGATTAGCAAGCATAATTAGGGGGGGTCAATTAAGCTTACAAAGTAAGTAATGTCATATAGAATAAAGACAAGTAATTTGAACTAAACATTTCAATGGGTAAAGGTCAAATCGTAACGAAGAAGGATGTGGAAATAAATCAAATAATACATACAATATTAGTAAAACCTGAATTAACCAAAATAAAAAATAGAGGCAAACAAGAGCACAAGAATCAATGATAGAAAAAGTAGGGATACCAAAATCAGCAAAAGAGGGCATTAATAAATTATACGGCTGAAGTAGCAGGTTTACTAAATCTATTCATTTCATTTATTGACGGCTCTCTTGCAGAACATAGTACGGAAGCTAAACAATTTTGGTGTAAATTCATTTCAAACAACTATTTATTTAATTTATATGTGGTCCAAAACATTGGAGTAAATAGTAACAAATTTATGTAGAAAAGTAATTATTATTTCAGCTTTTTAGGCATGTGGGGGATGCCTGTTCTATGAAGAGGTAAAACATATATATATGTAGTGAATACGGATTAGGGTCCAAAAGCTCAATTTAGGGCACGGTACATATAAATGTCATTCATCCTTACATCACATAAACATGTAAACAACACACTATTTCTGTGTTGTATTAATTGCATTAATGTATTTACAGAGTTGAATCTCAATCAGCTATGCTAAACAATCTATTGGTCAGTAATTAAATTAAAGTTTTATTTAGAAGAAAATTAGATATTTGAAAATAAAAAATAAAATAAAATAAAAAAGGGCGGGAAAAAAGGGGAAACGGTCCCAATACAGAGTGAGGGGGACTGATGAAGAAGGTGTGTGAGGTAATAGAGAAGCGAAGATCCCATAAAAAAGAGAACAAGGTCAAAAAGAGGAGACACTGTGTAAGAAGAGGAAGAGAATAAAATAATGGTGGGTGGGCCCCACATTAACTGGTGGGGTCTACGCTTTGAACTTTGACCCCCCACCCCCTACCACAGTATCCTCCTTAGATTCTCTTTGCTTGAATTGACCATAATGCCCTAGTAATTTCAAAAGAATTAACAGTTGGAGAGGATTTTTTTTTCTCAAGACTTTGGCATGCATTCATTCATACTTCAAAATAAACATTTCAATAGTAGAAGAAGAAACACCAGCTCATCTTTGCTTTCTCTGCTTTTTAGGTTTATTATAAGTTTTATAACTGCCCCCCAAAAAAGGGCCCCCCTCCCCCGCCCCCCATCTCTTTCACTGCAATCACAAGAAAAGCAAATGTCCCTCTCTCTCTCTCTCTCTCTAGTCTAGAGAGAGAATGAGAGCGACTACATTGTACTACATTATTAAAGAAAGCACAGAGTAGAGTGGGGTTTAAAGACTTCCATTTACCCACCAGAAACTTTGATTTCTCACCCCCCCAAAAAAAAACATACATATATATATATATATATATATAAACTTAATTAATAATCCATGGCACTATTTTTCTTGTATACTACTGTACACTGCATTATTCAAAAAACCCCTCCCATATTTTGAATCTTTTCTTCACAGAATCTCTGTTCCATGTTACTATCTCTTCACATTTTTTTGGCACTTGATACCAAAAATATTACTACCCCCCCTCAACCATAGCTAATCCGATAAAACTCGGCCATTCCGTTTGTTATCCGTTAGGCTGGCTATGCTTGTTCTCGTATCCAAGGTGGTTCGATTCGTTCAAGAATCAATCGAAAACACCTCACGATACCCTTTTCAGAGAACCATATAATATAATCTCAATTGTATCACCTGTCCTCAATAAATATTCTTCCAATGAAATCCCGGAACCTTCTAGAATACAATTTCGGGTCGACGGCCGAAATCGAGGTGGGGTCCACCTGCAAGGATTTGTACGCATGCTCAAGCTTCTTGCTGATATCGTAGTCTTGTAAAATGTCGATTATACCAAAGTAGAGGACTACTTCGTAAACTTCGCCGCTTCGTGAGGGTATCAAATTGCCAAATCCACCGGGAGTGTACTGATCGAAATCACTCCTTCGAGCAACACGCTCTGCTCTAGCAGGCATGTTCGCCCCTAGCCTGATCAAGGGTTTCCTGATTTACGAAACAAATACATTTAAATTAATAAAACAAAACGCATGCTCATGTTAAATTAATTAATTAATCTTGAAATATACGTACCTGCCCGCTAAAACCCGGTCCATATCTTGTAGTTCTGCTTCAAGAAAACGACACCCACGCATGAACTTTTCACTTTGATAAGTATCACTCTTCCCTGTGTTCCAAAATTCAATGTAAGCTATATCTTCCAATGCCATAATCGATTGCTTATTATGATATGGATAATTAATTACCTGTACGCAATAGAAAAGGTGATAATCCCATTTTGTCTTTAGTACTATCGTCGCGAAAGTGTAAGCCCACTAGGAGACTGTAATCCATAATTCTCTCTGCCTCCAAGAACTCACAGTCGCGCTCGATTTGTCTGAACAGATAAATCAAGAATAAGCTAATTTCACAAAACAGTATAAAATCGAGAGTCAGAAAGACAAAGAGATACGAATACTAACTTGATGAGTTCTTGATACCAATTGGTTTGAAGCCGAAATAAAAAATTTAAATCAAGGTCTTTGAGGGTTGTGGTTTCATCAATCTCCTCTTCGGGTTTATCAGTTGTTCGGCCATGGGAAGATCCTTTCAAATCGAATCTCCTATGAATTCGATATTCTGAGCAGAACATATTACCCATCACAATAAACCGAGTCTAATTTCGAAAAAATATGACCAAAAATTAGTTAATGGAAAGTGATAAACATTATAAAAAAAAGCTGAAATAAAAGCTGAATTACCTTGACACCCCCCACTGGTTTGACACAATGGACACCGAAGAATTTAGTTACGAGAGAATTTTCGTAACGACATACATGCTTGTGATAACTTGGAAGCATCTTGATAAGCACCTGAAGAAAGAAAAAAAAAAACGTACCGAGTTTAATTACAGTTATAATTGTCTAGAAGATGGTCCGAACCAACTATAATCCACCTGTCATGTTAAACATAAATTTCGTTTCACCGTTGATTATGCTAATTTTGTCCTAGTTAATATATTTTTTTTGTCAACTCTAACAAGTCAAAGGTAGGCAACAAACCTTGACTTCTGATTTCTTGACTGTCTTGATCATGAACCTATCGTCCTGTGTCAAGTAAAAGAAACTTCCACTTTTCCCGGGCGATGAAAGCTCTCTCAAAGCATCGTCTCCACAAATGGCTAACATATAATCTGCAGGATCGACTTGAAATAGCTCCCTTAAATGTCTGAAAAACACCCAATAAAGAAATCCATTATTTAGGAATGTAACTCAAGCACATATATAATCATAATCGAAATTTAATAGCAAAAATTGCATTCTGAAACAAATCAAATAAGCCCGATTAAAGAGGAATAATTACCTAAAAACCAGAGGACAATAGTCCTTCCATCGAAACTCGAACGATTGGTGAGGTGGCGTAAGTTTTGATCCCTCGGAAGGGAACCTAGTCCAAAACTTTTCGTTAGGATCAAAATCACTCAGTTTAAGATCGCGTATCGTTGAAGCATGCTTCCCCACTGAATGCCTACAGAACAATACACATACACAACTCAACAAAAATCAAATCCAACAATACAAATCTCATCACAATAAAACTACAAGCATAGATAAACAGATAAACATCAAAGCCATCTGGCGTAAAATCTTACCGAATACCCAATTGGAGATTGAGCATCAAATCGTAATTCTTATGCCCTTTCGATATTGTATGACCAGGCTTCTTGGCTTCCCCACTGAGAGAGTAGGGATTCCTCCTAAACTGCCGCAACCCATCTCGATCGAACACAAACCCGTCTCTATACATCATAGAAGCCTCTGTATTATCAATAATATCACAAGTTATATCACCTTCTTCCCCATCTGATTCCCAAATGCAAATTCTCGGAAATGCCCTTTCCCCCATCCCATCCGACGACCTCTTCTTCCCCCCACCACCACCACCGCCATCGCCTCCTCCAACAATCAACTCCAAACTATCCTCCCCCACCACCATCAACGGCGCCGATAATTTATGACTAAAGTACCCCTTCAAACCCCCGTCGTTACCATTATCGCCACTCTTGGCATTATGAGCAGCGTAAAAAGTCCCATTCAAGATTTGAGTTGCGTTGCTATTTTTAGACGAATCGTTCGACCAGCATCCGATATAGCAGCTTCCATCGGGCCAAGTGAAAACCCCATTCCCTTTGGGAACACCATTCTCCCAATTCCCATCGTATCGATTCCCATTATTCCAGACCAAAACACCCCTACCATGAATATTCCCACACCTCCACTCCCCAATATACTCATTCCCATTCCTCCAAAGGTATCTACCTTGCCCATCTTGCAGATTCTTTTTCCAATGCCCTTCGTAATAATCCCCATTACCGTAATACTTAACCCCGTACCCATGTTTCCGATCCCCCGACCACGAGCCTTTGTACATATCTCCGTCGGACCCGATAAAAGTACCGGTTCCCTCCATCCGACCCGACTTGAATTCGCCTTCAAAAGTTGCGCCCGACGGCCAGGAGAATTTGCCTTTGCCACTCGCTTTCCCCTTCTTCCACTCCCCTTCGTACATGCACCCGTCTCTCCACAGGTATTTTCCCGATCCGTGAGGGGTGTTGTTCGAGAATGTTCCGATGTACAGATCCCCATTCGGGAGATGCTTCTCGATAACAATGGCTCCGTTGCTCTCGGGAACTGAAGTCGGCGCTACTCTCCGGCAGGTGGCTTGAGATTTGCTCCGGGGAACAATTATGACTGATCTCGGCGTCGTTGTGGTTGTCGCATTCTCCAATAATTTCTCATCTTCTCTATCGAAATTCTCTTCGTATGAATTCTTCTCCCCATTTTCGGCTGGCTTTACGCATAACAGTGTCTCCGGCATTTTCCCCTAATTTTTTTTTCTGGAAATTAAACAAAATAGTGACTCTCTATATCGACGAACAAAACAATTGATTGGTTTACTAACCTAAACTATGGCTAGAAAAATTGATGCATATAGCTGCAACACCCAGCTCCGGCAGCATTTTCCGGCCTAATTTATTTTTTTTTTTGTCCGGTGAAATAGTTTCCGTTTGTGGCTTTTGTGGGAAGGTCTGTATGAGAGAGACAAACAAAAAGACGAAAAATTGAATAAATTAAACAATGAAACTGAAAAAGCAGAGAGCGAAACAAAAGAAAAAAAAAAAAAGCAGAAACAAAACGAGTGCGTGAACTGTGTGAGATAGAAAGTGTCGATAATTAAGTAGGAGCCGGCATTACATTTTTTGTGTACTGTAAACGTTTCTGTAATGCTCTGCTAACCTATACATACACACTATACATACAGACACTGATGAATCTTGCGTTTATATTTATTTATAAATAAATATAATGAATGACAAATATACCCTTACGAAGGAGGTGCACAGTTTTACCCAACAATAGGAATATCTCCCTAGTTTCTACTTGACGTGACGGCTTCGCCTAGGACTGAAAAGGGCAGGACTCGTCATTTGTGTGTACTTAAATTAAATATCCTTTCGTTTTGAGTTAAATTACGGAAACGCCATTATGTAGATTTATATAGGTGAACCGTCGGTTTTACTGACACAATCTTTTAATATGGGCAGATTATGTGACCTTTATTATGGTAATGTGTAATAATTCTCCTTGCTTTTATTAATATTAATTGCATATCCTATTACCATTTCTTAGTTTGGTAGATAAATAAAGTCTTCTACACAATTTATGATTTTAATTAATTTGGTCGGCGTTAATATGAATCCCTGTTCTTTTGTTAATTCGTATGATTACCACATTTTTACCTAATTTATTTATTCAATTGGATCTAATTATTTAAGAAATATAATATTTATTTTATTTTTTGTCCATGATCAAATCTTGAGTTCAATTGTTGGTGAACGATATTTACGATAATTTAATAGAAATCCCCAATTGTCAACGTAGGAATAATGAACAGATTTTAAGACATGGGCACAACTTATGGACTAGTTCTTAGGTCTTTTCTTGGTTTTTTCAATTGGCCTATTGATTTAAATAATAAATAATAATCCGATTATTATCTTCTAAATCCTCCACATCAGTCATTGACATATTAATGTCAATGACCGATACTTTTTACGTGAATATTTGATTTCATTATAAATAAACATAAAAATAAAAACTTTTCGATTTTATAAATATTTCTTTTTCTTTTTTTAATAAATGCTCCATTTAGAGTAGTTTTTCAAAAATTTAAATACTGAAAAAAATACTTATAATTCATAGTTCAACTAAAAAAAATTAATTGACAAGATACTCAATTTAAAAAGTGCTTTCAAACTCTATTACTCTACTAATTAGGTAATCTAGAACTAATTTAATTTTAATTAAGTAAAATGGTAAGAAGAGATTAAGTAATAACTGTATCAACGTTGCATTGACCAAATTGTGTTGGAAATGGTGGTGCATGATGGACTGTAAAGTGAAAAAAAACCTAGGTGGAACAAGTGTGGGCCCACATAATGGCCCATTTGCATAGTGGGTTGCCTCGTTGGAGATCCATCATCTTTAGCATAATTGCATATTCGGACAAATAGTATTTGAAGTGGGTAATTGTCATTTTCATCTCTAATTAATCCTAGGTTTTATTCTTTTGTCTTAAGATGATTAAGCATATAATCTATGACCTTTACTCCTAGATCCCACAGATTTGGAATCTAATTGCCAATTCAGACGTTAATCTTTTTTTTTTTTTTTTTGTGTCTGTCTTAATTAGCCTTTTTCTATCGAGAGTGAACATTTAGTTTGATATTGTCTTATCCAATATCGAAAAATTGTAAGATATTGTTTACGAGAATGGTAATGGCAACTATCCTTCTAATAAGACGGTGTTTACCAAAAGGAGTAAGATATTTTTTATTTTTCAAAAAATTCCACTAGTAATAAGTTTATTAGCAATTAAGCCAATGGATTTTTTTGGACATAATTACCCCAGTATATAAACTGAAAATTAAAAAGTCCTAAGCTTGTTTTTCATTTTCGGTGCGAAGTGACAGTAACTTCTGAGGACTCCAATGTAATTTTGCTTCAAAATAGTGGCACATATGACATGAAATTTAAGTCCGAAACCGCGGTGTAAATAACAGTATTTTTTTAGATGCATTAGTGGTTTTGGTTCCGTGTATGAAAATAAGGTTGAAAGATTTGATTATCATAATGCATAAGGACGTGGCTGGTGTAGTATTTTGCTTGTGATTTGTCCAACTTTTATCCACCAGTTAATAATAATATTTAAAATAAAATAATAACATACATTAGTGGTGGTGGATCATAAAATCTTAATAAATTTGGAGCCTCTTCATAAATTCTAAGATGACCCTATATATCTAGTCAATTATCAGTTGGGGTCGGGTTTTAATTTATATGACTATTGTGTCCCAGTATTTATATATTACATGTGAGTGTAAGTTATGTACTCCCAACCAACCATATGAGTTAAGGATGATTGATTATATTATTAATATAATTATTCTTTTGGTAGGTAAACATTCATTATCATTCACTTTGATTTGGTCTTATTTACTGATGTCATGGTTGTGAATTTCGATTTTTTTTTTGTTTAATTTTTACTGATGCTCATACTAAAAATTATATATTAAATGATGGTGGCAATACCCAAACCCACCCAATTAATTTTTATATTGCTGAACCAATTATTAAATTGAGTTATGAAGCCCATTTTGTTGTTGATAATTGGTTTCAATAATTGAATATAATTATTGACAGAATGATATTTTTTTCAAATACAATATTTAATAATGAGAAAATAGAAACATTTAGGTGGTGCCAAACAGTTGCTTTTAACAGTTGGCAGTTACTCGTTAGTGGCAGGGTGGATCCGCCGTCCAATCAAGGTGGTGGTGCCACCTATCTCGGCTTGGCCGTTTGGAAACCACCACCTTCATCTTCCAAGTGGTACGTACCTATTTTGATGTGAACCTCTCATGAATTGACACGTGGCACTATAAAAGATTATTATTCGTGAGAGAGAGTAGGAAGAACAAGGAAACATTTCACTAACATGGGCTCAGATATACAGTTTACAGTTTACACCAAAAAAATAACACTGTTGATTTAGGTAAAGAAGGCCAAACGGCAAGAATGGTCGAGGGGCGTAATACGATGTCCATTGTCGAAACAATTTAATTGCTTCATCTATAACGAAACTATACAAATGCACCTATAATGAATCTTCATCAGCTGCTTTTCCGATATTTCTCCTAGAGACTAATAAAGAGAAGGCCATAATATATAATACGATTTAATATTTTATTTAAAAAGAAGAAAAAAACGAGAACCCCTCTTACTCGTCAAGAGATTGATCGGAAGGTACTTGGCCAAAAATATCAGGGCATGCTTCCCAGTTTCCCTGTTCCCTAGCTTCCCAATACCCACCAATGTATCTGTATGTATCAGATCCGTCCTCTTTCGCAAACCATTGCGGTTTCCACCCTCTCTCTTGCATTTGCCTCGCCTGTCGTTTTCATACATCACTAACAAGTTCATATTCGAATTCGTGTTCAAAGTTTACACATTTGCTAAAATGTTTTCTTTTTTAGATTTTAGAAAGAAATTACCTGCCGTTGCCTTTGCTCAAGACGCAATTTTTCAGCATTTGCCATCTCATACTCCCCATTTTCCAGGCATCTTTGATCGGGTCTAAGCCTTGAATCTGTTGGAGGCAGCTTTTCCTGCAAAATGTGAAAACAAAAAAAAATCTAAAAATCGACACTGATAAGACGCATGAAAACTCTGTAACCTCGTAAAAATCACCTTCAGCCCAGGAATAAGCTCGTTGAGTGTGATAGCAAAGCGAGTCAAATTATAACGCGTAGTGAACTTTGGAGGCTTGCTACGTTTCCAAAGCAAGTGAGCTTCGGATGTAGATTCATGAGCTTTTCCTTTGGAGGAGTAATCTCCATGGACAAAATGCATGCTTTCGTCCCACTTCCCAAACAAAGTTGCTACAGTTTTTCCACTCTTGTCTTGGACAATTCCCTGCACCTGCAATTTCATATTTGTATGCTTGAAAGTCGTATCATATTTGAACTTTTTAACTGATTTTACCAAGATTTGCAACTACACTTTTCTTAGGTAAAGGGAGTACCAATTACAGAAAAAAGGAGAGTACCTGATGAGGATTTCTGTCTATGATAGACTGCTCTTTGAATTTCAGTTTACAAGAGTAACCATGGTTTCCTTCTATCCGCATTGTACCGTAGTGATCGCAATATAGTTTCCCCAGAATAAGATTGTATATAGATGTTGTTACCTGTCAGAAAAAAGGTCTCTGTTTTCAATAACATCAAAGAAAGAGAAATACAATCTCCAATCTTCAATTGTACCTTGCTCCACTGGAATATCTCTCCATCGTCAAATTCAAGAGTTAAAACGCCGACTGGATCGAGCTGAATGGAGCGACCCCAAAATTTACTTTTCAGATTGCTATCACCATAGAACTTCCAGCCTGTACCCTCACAATGGCATGCTACAATCATGGGGTGGTGACTCACCTGATTCAAACGACAATGGCACTGGCTATTAATTTGTCAATGCAATTATGCAAATGTATGTAAAAGAAAAAAGCAAATCCGTTTTGAGGGGCCCTAAGCTTGATTTAAACTCGAAGGGGGTGTAGTGCTTCAAATAAAAGCAGATCGGCAAGCATGCTAAAATTACATTTTGATAGATACATTTAAACGGGTGATTTGCTGTGACTCTCCCTGCTTTACAACAAATGTGGATATATTTAATGGAATTCCAGTTACCTTGCCCTAATATTGAAGACGATAAGCAAATGATAAGGCATAGTAACAAGCAAATTGTAAGACACTAACAAGCGAGCATAGTAAAAAGGAAAACACACAATACTTGGATCCAAGAAATAAGCTGAAACCTTCTCTGAGAAAAACCGGAGGCCTTTATCCGGATAATCAGCCTCATAAGTCTCCCCTAAGAGTGGATTGAATGGTTTGCAATTTCTTCCTTCAGTAGAAGCATATCCAGATATAGCAAATGCAGCTACATTTAGAATCCTCATAAGAGAGTTGCCCTATGAAAATAATTAGAAAGAAGAGTCAGATGCTAAAAAGGGTGGTAAGCTATTAGCATCTTATTTGAAAAGAAAAGGAAAAAAAAATCCGAAAGGCATTCCTTCTCTAGATTATATTAATAAGTAAGAATGAAGAACATGATGAAGACAATAAAAACAACCGAGTTGTCAGATTAATTTATGCAATGTACGACATAAAAAATAAAAAATGCAAGAACATCAGAAACTGAAATAACTAACATTATCAGCACCAACTTACTCTCTTGCCCCATTCATAAGCCCGATCAATAAGATACGAATATTCCAAATCCTCATAACATTTCTGCAGCGAAGAGAGAGGCTCGTTGAAGTAGACAGGAAGACATACTTTTGTAAGATCCTTCCCGATATTATCTTTAATCATGGACCACAAACTCACTCCTTTCTCTTTCTCAACAGGGTCTGGCAATTTATTTCGACGCTTAATATAAGGAAAGTTTGCTCCAGCAGATCCAATGGCAGGATCAATAGCATCCTCGGCTTCAAAAGCATAAATGTCATCATCATCGGATGAAAATGATGATGTTCGAAAGTCAGAACCATTGCTTTTAAAAGAGCTAGATGAAAGAAAATCTCTGGTGTCGAAGAAAGTATTGTCTTCTCCATCTGTATCTTCCTCTGCCCCATCTACTCTTTCATTTTCATCTTCAGATTCACTCGCACTTTCTGGTATAAGTATACAAAAGGGTGATCAGATGTGCTTGGAATTCATTAAAACTACAACATGCGCATATGGATGCTCATAATATACTTAAAGCTTAAATTATCGGTATTGGACCTATTTTTAAAGAATAATTTTTTTTATAAATGTTATACAACCTAAAATAATTTCAATTATCATTTTAATTCTCATAGGGTTGTAACAAATTTTGACAAAGCAGCATAGAAAGGTAACTGTGGAACTTAAAGTGCGGGAAGATTCACTTGGTAACACTATTCCTAATCGAGCAGCTAAAACATGAATAGATCGGTTGAGCTTCGTTTACGCTGTAAGCTAAAAAATAAGTAGAACATGTTGAGGAAAGCTTACCACTATACTTATCTTGCCTTGAACTAGAGGATGCTCCAACATCATTTAATCTCTGGCTTTCATCAACAACAGTATTCTCCAGATCAACCTTTTCTGTCTGCACTAAGATAACAACCTTTAGCAACAATCAAGTAGAGAGAACCAGATATAATTAACAGCCAAAAGCCCTTTAAATTCATCAACTCTTGTCTCAAGAAAGCAAATCAAAACTTGATGAACAAGATGAAATAAAAAATGTCTGGATATGAAGAAAATAAAATATATAATGGCTAGAAATGCTACAATCAAATAAAATCAAGCTTGCAAGAAACAAAAAGTTCACAAGCCCAAGCTACCAATACAAAGTCTAGGGAAATCAAAAGCACTGTAATTACCAATTCTTTGTGGAATTGAAGAAAATTCTGAAACTGATTTTCTAAGCTTGTAAGCTTAACGCGTACCTCTAACTGCCGAAGTGTGTCCATGAGGAGCCAATACTTCTGCCTCAAAAGCATCAATTGATTTTGCAGCGATGCAAACTCGTTCCTCATGATCTGTTCACAGTCCTGAATGGCAGCGTCACTGATGCCTTCTTGCAACAACCGTTGCCTCAATATTTCGGTCGAGACAGCTAAATTGTCCACAGGAGCCATTAACTCACTGTTGGACATCCTCGGAAACATGTCCTTCACAGCTTGCAAAGCTTCCACCCATGCCATTCGATCCTCTCTGCTCTCAGCCCTCAGATGAAGCCTTTTGGTACCAGTAAATATTGAGAACCTCCTATCATCTGAACGGCTTTCTCGAATAGATGAGACCTATAAAGAACTACTCAATTGTAAAAGATACACCATAAACTTTACAATTTCAATACAAACACCTATCATGAAAATGGAAGTAGGAGGAGAAAAAAAAAATTAACTCCTATAAATCTCAATCGACCAATACTAACAATACTCTGCCAACAACAGTGGAATAGGAGTATAAGGTGGTTCAAAACAGTATAATTTCAAACAAATTTCAAGTGAACAAAAATCCTCCCCCGCAACATTTCTAAATATAATCCACAGGATCCAAGCAGCACGTTCAAAAACTATCTTCTGATAAACAAAGAACAGATCAACTCACAGCCACAGGACAATTATTGAACCCAAATTTTAACATAATAACGAGTGAACTCTTACCAAAACCACAGTTTAACATGTCTCAAAATTACTCCACTGGAAAAACAGAAAATCAAGCAAGTAAGAAGTATAGCTGATGCAACTCAATTGGAAATAAGTGAAACCTTTAAATGAACTTCACCGATGGGATTCCGGCTTCTTGCAGATGCCCCGTTACTCCCGTTTCTGTGATGATGATGATGATGATGCTGATGATTGACATGCTGCCGGGAAATCCGCTTCACCGATTCTTCCCCAATCACTCTCGATCCTTTTTCAGTCTCCTGATTAACCACAATTTTGTCGGGCCCGTGGATCTTATAATAACTCAGCACCCCATCCTGCAAAACAAACCATCTAGGCCTCCATCCTTTACCGTAATTTACCCATTTATACAAAATTCCGGAAATACCATTCCCAACTATGTCGTTAATCTTCAACTCACGGCTGTGGTGGTTTGAATTGTGATTGTTACTGATAACCAGAACACCAGTATTATCCGGCATGGAGTCACGCGCTGACACAACCCTGGATAACGCTGGATTCTGAATTCTGTTCAGAAGATCGGACGGCGGAGACGGCGGCATATCGGAGTTGCTTTGCAGAGTCATCGACGAAACGCAGCAGAAAGGATGCATAGCACAGAAGTCACGATTAGCGTAACATTCATTAGTTTCCGAACAATTATACCGATCATCGAAATTCTAGAAGAATCATCAACGATGGCGAAGAATAATTCCAAAGAGATGGCCGAGAGGGAGTAGAAAGGTCGGAGGACTGTACAAAGGTAGATAGATATACGCGATTTGTACGTATATATTTGGTAAAAAAATAAAATAAGAGAAGGGTAATTAAATTGGCAGAAGGGGGAGTTTTCCGGTAAGGTGATGAGCTGGCAGTTGTGGAGGTGGGGTTTTGAGTTTAGGTTAAGGCCGGCGGTTTTGCGGGGTCGATGGTGGGGGTGGGGTGGGGGTGGTGGCGAGAGGGGGGCCTGGTGTGAAAGGGGCTGAGAGAGTGACGGGTGGGTAAAGGATTTTGTGGAACGTGGCAATGGCCAATGAGGCAACTGTGGATTTATGGCGTTTCTTTGTTTCCAGTTTTTAACATTTTTTGCTCAATAAATTGATATTTTAATTTCAACGTATCAAAGTAGTAGACAACTCCGTTTTCTCTACACCACATTTGAAGTTATATTTCTGTACACTACATAATGTGTTGTGCACTGCATACGAAACTCGTATAAATTTATTCGGTGCACTTATATCCAAAATAAAATTAAAAAATTAGTCGATATAGTTTTGATTGAATTTAGAAGTGATGTGAAATGCAATTGTGCACGTTATATGGAGAAGGTGCTTTCCATTTTGTTACATGTTAGTCAATGCAGCTATTTATTGACTATGTCAATAATATTCCCTATCAAAACAATTACCATGTTACTTCCCTAAGTTTTAAAAAAATAACCAAACAACTCTCAATCTTCTCTACCTTATTTCCTTATTTGTTTTCAAATAATTGAAGGAAAAAAATGACTAGAAATAGGTGTTTGGTTATATTTACTATTTATCTTATTTCAAGTAAATGTATATTTCAAATTAAAGTTATTAATGGAATATAATTAATATATGTGCAGTCGATATACCTAACTAAATACTAACATTGTATTGACAATACCGCGTGGGGAATTAAAGATAGGAATATATCCATTAATCTCGTTTAACTCCAGCTGGTCCAGCTTTTGTTAAATCAAGAAATATCCTAATTATGCCCGCAATAGATGAAAGTGTAGTCCAACAGAAATGATGCTTTGGAATATCCGTAAAACAAAATAAATAAGGTAAATTACAACCATCCCCCGATGTAAAGTCCATTTACAAAAAATCCCTTATTTTTTAGAAATTACATTCAACCCCCTGTAGTTTGTGAATTGCTTACATACATCCCTACAAAAGGGTGTTAATGCAAGAAATTTACAAATTACAAGAGGTGGATGTAATTTTGAAAACATGAGAGTTTTTTTCGTAAATAGATCGAATCTCAGGGGAGCGGTTGTAATTTGAATCGAGAACTCCGTTTCCTCCTTCGGAATGAACAATGCGGACGAGAAGAAGGGGGCAGACTAATCTATGTACAAAACTGGTTTATTAGGAGAAATCGAGAAAAAAGAAACAATAGTACCGAGTTTTTCTTGACCACCTGAGTAACAGAAAACAATGTCTTTGTTTTTCGTCCTTTTTTTTATAATAATAATAAAGAATAAATAATAAATAATAAATTGATAGGTGACCACAGTACCAACAATACATTTGAGTCTCTTAAAAAAACACAATCATTACCTCTAATTATACAAATTATTAGTGAGGGACTTTTATCTAATATTTAAAAGTACATTCTCACCATGATTGGTATTTGGTACGAAACCCTCCAAAAATACTGTAACGGTAAATTATAAACAAATTTATTCTAAAACTTAATTAAAAGTTGTGAATAGCATTTTCACAAATCCAGCAAAATCTCCAAAAGGGCCAAGACAAATCCAGCAAATGTTTAGTATACAGCAGGCGACAACAATGTAATAATATCATATATTGGCCTTCTAGAAGCATCCAAATACACAACTGTGCATGCCCCATGCAATAGCCCCCACCATTCAAGCAAGACGAGAAACTAGCACAGTGTCTGTCCATTTCACCTTTTTTTTTCAGTTTTCATGTTTTACTAAATTCAATTTTTATCATGGGACCAACTTTATAGAATCCTAGAATACTCAAACCTAGTACAAAACGTTTCTTAAAAAATTCAAGTCAGATCATGAATAAGCATGAGTACCTTTGAACAGCAATTTCCGAGACGAGATTAAGCAATTTCCGTCCCTCGTCTTCATTATCGAAAAGCTGAACAAAAAATCAGAAATCAAACAACATAATTTACAGTGGAGAAAGTGTAATGTAAATAAAGGGAAGAAATAAAGAAAGAAAGGACATTCTCACATTTCACATGGTGCAGCAGCAGATGGTTATTCCTTTATTTGGCAGAAGGTGCCATCACAGCTTCAAGCCATTTCTCTACTGACAAGTCCTTTAAGGAAAAGAAGAAAAAAAAAACTGTAGCCACATGGAGTAAATCTCGCATCAATCGACCGCGAATATACTTTCGAGTGAATACAACATCAAATGACAAAACAACATGGGACATGAATTCTGTATACACAAAACTATTATGCATGCAATCCACATCCTCATTTAATTTCTTTTTCCCTTTCCTGAATGGAGGTTTTGAGAAAACGAATGGATGGCCCAAAACATAGTGCCATATCCGTGAACGATCACAACAAGTGTAAATTATTTACAGCTTTCGTATCCGAAAATGCGTGCTCGGTTTGCCTCATCAAAACTATGTAACTAGGCTTCATAGCTGGAAATGACCCCTACATGTGTACGATTTCTTAAATCTGGCAGCCACTCGCATTAATTAGGTAAGAGAAACTGGCAACGAGCACAAAACATCAAATGAAAAAAAAAAATAGGGACCAGAACTGAATAGGTATTCATAGTAGAAATCTTACCAGAACTGCTCAAGATGACATGGGAGAGATGAACTGAAATCTAACTCTGATTCACAGCAACATGCTACAAAATATCAACAATTGTTTTTTTTTTTACAAATCTTACACGCACAAGGAGAAAAAATTGGGAAATTCGGTTAAATGGGTAAAAACTAAAAACAATAGAACATCATACAGGAAGATCACAGACAAAAGACATGCAATATATAAATTAATTGATCAGATGTTTTTATCTCCTTCCAAGTTTCCTAGCTGATCCTGGAGCTGAAAGCAAAGGGTAGAGACTTTACGAAGTAAGTTACATAGTTGGTGTCTTGACATAGATGACTCAGATTCTACTATTGACGTTGAGTCCTTCAGTAAGTTTTGGAGTTGGGAACATAACATCAACGTCTTTTCATCTGTTTCACTTGATTCGATAATAAGTTGAAACAATCTATGGCTTTGGTCAAGAGGGCAAGGTAGTTGAGGTGGAACTGGAGGTACAAGAAACGGGTGTTGGAGTAGTTGAGGAATCCTCCATCTCTTGTTCCTGTCCCAAGCAAGACATTTCTTCATAAGATCAAGAAGACAGGGGTTTGACAAAGGTTCGTATACGATCTCGTGATTTGGATCGGTTATGACTTTGAATTTTGCCCAGAAAGTTTTATAACCGGAGAACGGTGTTCTCCCATAAACCATTTGGTATAGGATGCAGCCAAGGGACCATATATCTGATGGACGGCCACATTTTATTACGTTTCCATTTGCATCCATCTCGTTACACATAAATGCCTCAGGAGACATGTAACTCAGCGTGCCAACCTGCAATTTAACAGTTATTTCAGCAGAAGAGAACACACGGGCATGATAGAAATAAATGTATATAATATTTATGCAAGACCGTATTGTCATTTCAAGCTTTTCAGATAGGGGGTGGAAGAATAAGTTTTTGAGTTGCTCAAACTGCTTTTTGTTGAAAAAGACAAAAATGCCTGTTAAATGAATGATTTTAACTTAACTGACAGGATAAAAATACTAACGGGAAGTAACTTTAAGAAAAAAACAGGGAGAAAGACCTGTGAGTCACGTTGGATGTTGGTTGTGTCACTCAGTATAGCCTTTGCGATTCCAAAATCAATTAGCTTCAGGGAACCTCTCACCAGAAGGAAATTGGCTGGTTTCAGATCAGAGTGCACAATACGTTCCTCGTGAATAGTGTTAACTGCCAAAAGTATTTGCTGAAACGTGATTTGTGAAGATAAATGTTAGTCGTCAGATCTTAGTGATGTATAAATACAAAAATTCTTATGACAAATAAATTACCCTTCATGAGCACTTCAGTAATTAAAAATGAAGTAAATAGAGAAATGGATTTAGTAAATAACCTGCCAATAAAATCGAAGCCAATTCTCATCTATGATTGTATTAGAACCGTCAAGTTCCTTCCATTTCTGAGACAGCATGTGTGCCAAATCAATTTCTCCATATTCAAGTACCATGTATATATACCCATCATTCTTGATCTTGTAATCCTTATTACTCATGGAACCATTTGTCACTTCTTGAAGCAAAGTCTTATCTGTCACCTAAGAAGGAAATTATGTTTAGTCGCAAATAAATTGTCATTTGATCAATGTTTGAATTGCTTGAGAAACATAGACGGGAAAACCTAAAAAAATAGTATTAGTAAAAGAGGGAAGCATCTTCTAAAGCGTGCACCTCATAATCAATCAGCTGAATAATATTGCTCTTCCCCCTCAATGTGTCCAAGTATTTCATTTCTTGACAAAATCCATATGCTGTGGCATAGTCACGGCCTTTAAGTTTGATCTTCTTCAAGGCATAAATTTTGCATTCAGATGAAATGACTTTGTGCACCTCGCTACTTCCTCCACTACCTATCTTGCCAAGTCTTTGATAGAGCTTCCCATTAACTTTGAAAAACAAGTCAGGGTCATAACCTCTTCTACGAGATGTTGATTCTGCTTTACCACTTGCAACTCTTTCGACTTTCTCAGACTTGGAATCTTCAACCTTTGCATCTGATGGAGATACTCTTGATAACTGAGGTTGAGATTTTGTGTTAACTACATTTCCTTTGGCTGAATTTTCTATTGCATGGGAAGAATTTTTAGAATTGCCATCTTCCTCTGGCACACTGTTCCGTTGCTGCTCCACTGGCATGCTGGAAATTTTATCGACTTCCGCTGGCATTGGAGCAATGGAGCTAATAGCTTGTGAGCATGCTGCTAATTGATGAGATAAAACTTCACCAGCATACTTGTTTTGTAAAGAATATGATGGCTTCACAACATCCATCTGCACTTCAGCGTCTCCAACAGGATCTGAACCCATATTGGCACTGCTAATGTGAGCTTGTGATGAATTAGTTGTTGAACTAATCATTGAAGCAGCAGTTGAGTCCATTAGTGTTGAAGTAACACAAGATGACTCAACAACCGAAGTTTGGGTCACGGCGTTATTAAAATCATTATGCAAACAGTTTCCAAGCCGGTGTAACTGATCCTGGGTAGAAATTGCTTTTCTAGCAAACAGAGAAGAACCTTCAGACATAAAAATATTATCCATTTCAATGCTCTGTATACTATGACGCTGCCAGCCTTGATTGACAGCAGCTGAAGCATCTGATTGATTACCCACATCCCATTCTGCTTCTGTTAAATCAAATGAATCAAAATGAGACGTCAGACCATTTGTTGGAGTAACCATTTGGTCGCTTACTAACTCATTTTTAATCAAAAACAGACAAAAATCTGATGATTAATGCATCACTTTGAAACGAGCATTGAAACACCAACTTACCGCGAGATGAAGCATTGGCCTCAGTGGCAAAACGAACCTTCTTTTGCACTTCAGCCAGACAATTCCCAGTTCCCACAACACCTTTATCATTGCTTCCAGACCTTGCAGCGAGTCCAGGTTGATCTCTTTGAGCATTGAACGGCTTAAAATTTTGTTCAAGTGTAGTCACAGTGGAACCCCATTCTGAATGCGGGGTAATTGATATAGCCTCCTGGTTCTCTTCAGTGACGGAAACCATGTTCTTGGACTCTGAAACGGAGACCATTGATCTATGACCCTGTTGAAAATCCTCTTTCGTGTTTTTGGCATCAAATGTCAAGTAAGGTTTTATGTTTGAGTCCTTTGAAGTTTCTTGTTTGTGAACCAAAAATCTCCTCGGTTTAATACCATTTGACTGCGTCGCACCTAGATATACCTCAGCAAATAGCAATACAAATTTAGGGAAAAAGTTGAAACAGCAACTATATAATAATATCTAAAACAAAAATTACTAAACTGAGGTCAGCTAAGGCGAAGTAGGAAAAGCTAAACAAAAGCACACAATGCAAAATAATAGATTATAGCTAAGCAAAACATAATCCCTCGAGAAAATCCTTTAACCATAAGAAACCCTAATTGAAAGTTAGAACATGGTAAACCCTGTAAATCCCTAATTTGTACACTGAAAATACCCTTATAAGATTATTAAAAAGTTCGTACTACAGCTAGGCAAGATATAGAATCTATCGGCACCCAGTTCTTCTTTACTCTTTCTACTTTCAAATCCTAAATTCTGCCAGTCACAGTAACGTAACGCACAAAAAGGAGGAGTTATAAGTTATAACCAATAAAATCCACATGTGAACTTCTTAAATTCTGATAAATGAAACATTAATAAGATACCCATGGCATGTACGAACAACCAGCAGTCATCACAGCATCACCACTCACTGTGAATACAAATTGAAGTAATTAAAAAAAAAAACACGAACCAATTGGAGGATGGCGTTTGAAGGCGGCTTGAACTTGCCGGACCAAGTCGGGAGGTGAGGAGGATGAAGAGGATGTGGTTGATGTGTAGGTGGAGGTTGCATTCGACGAATGGCTGTGATTGATTGATTCTGGGTTGATGTTGATCGGTCGGCTCAGATTGGGGTTGAAGAACTTCTCGTCAGACTCCTTTTCCATCGATTAGCCTCTCTCAAGCATTTCTAATATCCATTATAAATTTGCAAAAAGGATTGCGTATAAGCCTCATAGAAAGGGCTTCTGCTCCAGAACTCTGTACTGTGTGTTTGTGTGTGTGAGAGAGAGAGAGGAGAGAGAGGGGTTTTGAAATGACAGATTGGCGCTCTGCGTCTCGAATACTTTTAGGGCCTGAAGAATTTTATTATAGTCAGGGCCCAAGCCCAATTATTATGTTCACATGTGTATTATTCATATAATATAAGGACCTAATTGAAAATAAATTGGTGGAAGACTCAATCAAAGCTACAAGTCTATAACTGCCCAAATAAACAACTAACGAGGTCATTAATTAAGTATTGTTACATTATATTTGCTTGTGATGAAAGTTAATTCATGAACGTCAATTTAGCCGATGCTACTCTACATCTCAACTAATTAACATTAATATATTGTCATTTTTCGTAGTGTTGATAATATTTCATTTTCCTATATTAATTACTAGCCACTAAGAGCATATATTAGTCATAATATCACAATCCTGAAAATAATTATTTGACTAGATGATTATACATATATATATATATATTCCATAATTTATAAGATTTTGGAGGAACCAAATGTAATCAGATGATCATCCAAACTAATTTATTTAATTAATTTATATATTTATGAGTCCAAACAATTATTGAAAACGGATCAGAGAGAGAGGGAGAGAGAGAACTCATGACCAACAACAAGAGGGCACGTCACGTACATATATATTATAAATCACGACATTCGTCTTATTACAAGATCGATCAAACATATGAATATGATCGAAGGAAAATCAAACAAACAACAAAAAGAGGAACATATATAATTAAAACCAGAATAACAAATTAAACGCAGCATGCATGCATCATATATATATCAAAACACACGCACACGCATGCAAGAAAGAAACACGAATGATCGATCAAGAGAGGCGCATCAAGGCAGCAACGCTCTCGGCGATCAACATATTATCGATCGTCACTTTGTCGCCGAAGCTGTAGGAAATTCTCAAAGCCCCCTGCGACTTAGCACACCCCACATGCACAGGCAAACACTACAAGAAAGTTCGCATTTGGCTACAACAAATTTCGTTGTGCAAAGTATATAATTTCGTTGCTAATTCCATTCGCAACGAAAATAAGTCGTTGCTAGCTTCGTTGTCTTTTATTTGTTACGGAAAGTTCGGGGCAACGAATTAAAAGTTGTTGCCAATACATTTAGTTTGCGCAACGAATTCATGTCGTTGGCAAATATTTTTCGTTGCCTATACATTTAGAATGCACAATGAATATATTTTGTTGGCAATTATATATCGTTGCCAATGTATTATCTATACACAACGAATTTGTTTTCGTCACCAATAGTATACACAACGAATTTATTTTCGTTGCCAACGAATTTATTTCATTGCAAAACTATAGTCCGGATTTTTATCGAAGTCGGACCCACATGCGCCAACCCGACCCACATCCATTGGACCACCGAGCCAAGCCGGACCCACATCCATTGGACCACCGAGCTACTTCGGAATATGAATAGTTGGGTCGAACTCACAACCGGCCCAACGGGCTGATAAATGTTAAATATATGAAAATATGACAATGGTAGGAATTGAACCCTGGTTGATTTGAAGTTAAAGACCATCAAACCGCTGGGCAACA